TGTCAGTATAAAAAAAGTGAAAAGTGTAAATAAATTTAAAAAAATAGTGAAAAGTGTAAAAAAATTAAAAATAAGGGACAAATAAATGAATGTATGTATTGCATTTTTTTTTTAGCTGTGCTGGTTTTTTTTAAAAAAAAATACTACAAATCAAAACTGGGAAAAAAAGTTTTTTTTTACGTTTTTTCCTCTTTTTTTAATTTGTATTTGTCCTAAGTGAGGCGTTAGACACACATATGTGATATAAATATATTGCCCTATCTGTCCTCTAAAAAACAATATATAATATGTGTGGGTGCACTTTGTAAGAAAGTATATTACTGACGTGGAAGAATCACACAGCAAAAATGTCAAAAGTGTGTCAGTCATTTACGAACAGAAACCAAAAACAAGCTCAGTCATGAAGGGGTTAAAGGAGGTCTATCACAGAGATGAGACAGAAGACCCGTTTATTCCAGCAGCTCCTTAGGGGGTGAACGCTACAATTAAATGTCCTTTATTAAAGTTTTACAATTTTACATTCTTTTCCGTGTCCAAATTCAGTTAATACATTTATTCACAAATATCCCACTGTGAATAAGTGAGAATTGTATTTATACTACATTATGAGGCTGACAAGTTCCAACTTTGAAACGTTGGCACAGTAAATAGAAGTAGAAAGAAAATGGAACACTTATTTCACTTTATGTAAACTAGGGATGCACCAAAATCTCGGGCGCTGAAACATTTCATCCAAAAATGGTACTTTTGGCAAAATGCTGAAAGTACAATTTTTTTGCCGAAAATGCGGTGCATCTCTAGCTTCTCTCCTGCCCGCTGGGTGCTGCTCTGTATCTCCTCTGATCCCCCCATCTGTGACAGCAGAGCAGCGCCCAGCGGGGAGGAGAGAAACTTTCAGGAGGCTGAGCGGGGTGGGGAAGGAGATCGCTGCCAGCGTTATCAGAGGAGGCTGAGGTCTCCCGCACCACCCCGCTCGGCCTCCTCTGAAAAGAAAATCAGGATGGAGAGCGGTGTGGGGATGTAACTGTCCTCCCTCCAGCTCTGGTGTTCAGTGCCTGCCTGTCGGAGGCTGAGGCTAGATTCACACATAGACGACACCTCACCACACGGCAATCGTGCATGATTCCATGTGGATTGCCGCGCGGTCAGGAGCCGCCAAGGTGTGAACCAATTGCGTTGTGGGTGCCATTTTTTTCTAATGGCACCCCAGTTGCGCCAGGCGATCACGCGGTTTCCCGCCGCGATTCCGCCCGTGCTTCCGGACACGATAAATAAAAACAGCCGCGCGTCGTGTATTGCAAAAAGAAGGTACATGTACCTTTTCTCTGATCAATGGGGCAGCGCGGCAATCGCTGCCTGCATTGTACAGGACCGCGCGGTCCCGGGACGCGTGTCACGGATGTTGTGCGGTGTAGTGCAGGTGTGAACCTAGCCTGAGGCATCATCCAGTTCCTCATTCCCAGCTGGCCTAATCCAGGAAGTTCAGTTGCTCGGTGTTCAAGCAATGTGTTGACGCTGAGCAGGTGTACTTGAGACAGCTCAGTATCCTGACTATTGCTGCAGACTGTTCATCTCTCTTTCCTGGTAATTTGCTACCTTCACCTTGACTGGAAGCTATTTTATTCCATTCTCCATCCTGGCAGATAATCAGCATCTGATCCACAAATTCAGTACAACTCCTTTCAAGTCAAGTCTGCTAATCTTTTTGTCTTCTCAAAACGGAAAGTGTATCACAAGGGATGCACTGTCTACTCTGCTACTGTGCATAGGCTACATGTGCCTCCATATCCTACCTCCCTATCAGTGGCGTAACAATCACCATAGCGACCCAGGCGGTTGCTATGGGGCCCAGGGCACAGTGGGGCCCGGCCAGATCCCGTGCGGGCCGCCTGGGTCGCTATGGGATCCTCTGCTGGTGGCTTTCACTGGCGGCTGAAGACGAACATGCCTCTGTTCAGATCATCTGCGCAGCAGCGCGTTCGTCTCCACAGAGTCAATGAGAGCCAGCAGCGGCGGTGGAGCAGGCTGGACCCGGTGTTCTGTCAACCTCATCAACTCGTCACCGGCAGTGGAGGAGGAGGAGTCGTGCCCGTGCTCGGCAGTGGGAGAGGAGGCGGGGCCCAGTGACAAAGAAGGAGGCAGGCCCGGTGACGGAGGAGGTAAGGAGTGCGACCAGCCCACCTGAGGGTGACCCTGCAGAGATTCTATGGTGGGCAATATTAGAGAGTCTATGGTGGGCTCTGCAGGTTCACCCTCAGGTGGGATCTCGAGTGGGCTCTGCAAGTGGTATAACTAGAAATCACGGGGGCCCCATACAAAATTTTTCTATGGGGCCCTGTGATTTCTAGTTACGTCCCTGCTCCCTATACAGGGTATGAGCACACCTCAGCTTCTAAGAAGGCCTCCATGGTGTTCAGCCAGCGCAAGTGAAGCCGCAAGTACTTTTTACTCCTTACTGCCTTTTATAAAAATGCATTTATGATTATAAAGTGGTCAACTTCTACTGTTACGTTTATGAGTTATATGCTAAGTTGCTGGACTGTGAAGTGAATCAACTTCTACTGTTTATGTTATTGAATTATATGCCAAAGTAGTCGGACTGTAGTGGAACACATGAAAGGCCAGATTCCCCACAAGGCCACCGAGGCCATGGCCTCGAGGCGGAAGGGAATAAAGGGGCGGCACAGCCGATATTGTCCCTTTAAATCTTTTAGGAAGTTCGGCTCCTGAGGTGCTGAACTTGCTGGGGACCTCAGGCAGCTGTCTTTGATAGTGCTGGTCCAGCTGCACATTGCCGCCTCTTCCTTCCCGGGCACCGGCACAGCACAGGACAGCCCCAAGCCCACCAGCACAGCCCTGGAGTCCTGCACAAGTCCAGATCCTACACATTCAGCCCTAGAAAGCACAGCAGCCACATGCAGAGCCCTGGAGAGCCTGTCACCCGCCCACAGAGCCCTGAAGAGACCCACACACAGCCCTGGTGAGACTTGCATGCATCCCTGGGGAGACCTGCACACATCCCTGCTGAGATCTGCATGCATTCCTGGTGAGACCCAAACACAGCCCTTTTGCAATCTGCACGGACCCCTGTATATTTGCTGTGTAATCATGAATTGGTTGGATCTGTAGTCCTCTATAGCCAATTGCCATTCCCCATTGCAGCTATACAGCAATAGAGAATGGCAACGGACTATAGAAGACTACCAATCTCAGCAATCCATGATTGCTGGTTGCCATTCTCCATTGCTGAATAATCATGGAATGAGTTACAGTTCTTCATAATTATAAAGAAACTGCCCTAAAATCATTAGTCTGTTTTGTTTTTGAAAAAATGTCCCTTCAAGAAAAAGTATCGGAAATTCAGTTGTTGGTATCAGCAAGTATGGGAATATGTTTTTAATGTATCTATTCTAACAGTCATTGGTAAATGAGAATGGTGGTGTGGGGGGTTGGCAGGGAGGGGGCCCATTGAGGTTCCTGGCCTTGGGGCAGCAGAGAGAGCAAGTCCAGCCCTGAATGCATGATGAACATTAGCATTTCCTAATTATAACTTGCTGGCTGTAACTCCTTGTCTTTACCTAAGAAGGGACTGTTCCATTAATGAATCCTGTACAAGTGGCATATGAAGTAATATCTGTGATAGACTACATTCTCAATACAAATTAGTAAACTAAACGTGGGATTGTAGTCCATCATGGGGCGCATTGAGGATCCTAGCCTTGGGGCAGCAGAGAGAGTAGGTCCGGCCCTGAATGCATGATGAACATTAGCATTTCCTAATTATAACTTGCTGGCTGTAACTCCTTGTCTTTACCTAAGAAGGGACTGTTCCATTAATGAATCCTGTACAAGTGGCATATGAAGTAATATCTGTGATAGACTACATTCTCAATACAAATTAGTAAACTAAACGTGGGATTGTAGTCCATCATGGGGCGCATTGAGGATCCTAGCCTTGGGGCAGCAGAGAGAGTAAATCCGGCCCTGAACGCATGATGAACATTAGCATTTCCTAATTATAAATTGCTGACTGTAATTCCTTGTCTTTACCTAAGAACCGACTGTTCCACTAATGAATCCTGTACATACGGTAGTGGCATATGAAGTAATACTGTGATAGACTACATTCTCAATACAAATGAGTAAACTACACGTGGGATTGTTGTCCATCATGGGAGCGAGCTTGGAGCAGTGGCTACTTTACAACACACACAGGGACCATGGGGAACAAAAGTAGCCACCCTCCAGAAGGAGGGCCAGTGTCAGCCCAAATTAAGAGATGATTTGAGGATCTACAGCCGAGTGATACACACATAAGTTACATTTTTGTTAATAGTTAAGGTACTGGAATTTTAAAATGTAACTCCTGAGTTTAGTGTCACTTTAAGATGCTTCACCATTAAGACACCGATCGGAGCAGGACTTGCAATCAGTGGTAGCAGCTGGACATTATAATGCTCCCTACTCACTTTTCAGACCTATGATCACAGCATCTAGTTGAGGGAAGTCTGAAGTCTTCCACCACCAACTTCTATTGCAGCTCTGCGATGTCATGTGATCAAATGCAGAGAGTCACAATGGAAGATGAAAGATATGAAGATATGTCACAATAAACATGTCCTTTGGGAATACCAGTCTTCCTTAATGCCCACACACCAATGTGATACCATGGCACACTTTCCATGGTACCCTTTCTTTAGCCTACAGAAATCTGTACCGTGAAAGGGCTAGCTGATGATGTTAGCCCACCTAGTTCTCCACTGTGTCCTGTGGTAAGTCAATACTACAATTATAAGAAGGCACAACAGCATGTCCTGCCTCATACCAATACTGACATATATAATCAAAATATTTCATGCACGTTCATAAAGACAAATCCAGCAATATATCTATTTATAACAAAGAAAAGCAATTGTTACAGAAACTAGCTTGAATCTGCTGATATCTAATCACCTGAATTTTCCTTCACATCATTTAGCTTGCACATCACCCCTACTTACCGGAGGTCGCTTCCATTCAAACTTAACTGGAAAATTTTGGCTGTAGAACAAAGAGCTGTCATTAGCTAGGAATTCCCGATCTTCAAAGAGGACCTTTCTTTCCAAGCATTTCTTCCGCAGTTCCTCAAAAGTCTTTTCCCGCCCACCTATAATGGGCAAGTTTCTGCTAATAATGGCAGAATAGATGCCTGTACCACTTGGACCTGCATCATTAGCTGCGCTGGTAGGGGCTGAGCCAGATTCAGTTGGCTGTGCTACCTTGGCAAGTACTTCAGACGGCATGAAGATTGTGTGCCTGCTAAAATAGGACTGCAGGAATATAAACACAACAATTTCACAACAGAAAAGAGAGGAAGTTCAGTGATGCAATTTCTCTCTGGGTGGACACTTTCTTATTTTATATAGGCAAGCCAGTGAATGTCTGTAGAGGAAACCATTGCTCTCCTTTATCTTGCAGGGAAATCCACAGGCTAGGATCAGTTACTTGTTCATGCAGGATCTTTCAGCAGGTTGCTGTGTGAAGGGTTGGGAGTCAGTGCCTTCTGTGCCCTGATGCACTGAATAAGTTTCTGCCAGGATGCTAAAAATAAACAAACCAAAAGACTCTTCCAGGCAAGCAGATTCCTCTCAACATAACGTGACCTCAGGGAACAGACATGTCCAATCACAATCTGATGTTTGGCACAAAGACACCTCTCATTTAGCTATATTAAAGAGATAATGCTTCTCGAGTAATTTGTTTTAACTACATGTTCTTACAACAAGAACATGAGTTCCTTACTCTTATTGATCACACAATTTCTGCAGTTTACATTCTCCAGAGTGCTCTGTACACAGACCCAGGCTACAAAAAAAAACTAACTAGGAACTGCACACATTTCTAATAACCCTATCTCCACCGCCAGTTTTTTACCTAATAACCCATCCTTGTAAAAAAAAAGAGAATGTTTATTATTGCTTGATTTGTGTGTATATTTTTTTAGGGCCATTCTTTCATAAATCTCCATTCTGTGGAGTGTACTGCTTAAAAGTGGTCCTATGGACAGACACTAAGGTCTCCGCTGTGGATCTTTGCAGCTGCTTCAGTTTCAGTCAGGTTTACAGTGGTGCCATATTCTCTCCATTTTGTTATCATAGATTTGAAGTAGTATCAAACTCTCAATTTTTTTCCCAATAATTAATTCAGATCAAACAAATATACATTGCCCAGTAAAGTACTTCTTACAGCCATTATATTTCCAAACAGCTCCAACTCTCTCAGCTCAGCTTCCCTAAACTTCCTGCCCAGTACAAGATGTCAAGGGACAACAAAATCTCCAGCAGCTGTCCATCTACTACCCTGGAGAAGTGTGGAGGAATGAAGGAGAAGATGGTAGCAGGGGAATGGGTTGCCTTGCTGTGTCTGTGTGTTTGTTGAGACACACACAGCTTACTAGCACAAGGGTGGCTCCATAGGACACTACAAGGGAAAGGATCCACCCTAAAACAGGATATCAGGGCCAGTGCTCAGGGGACCTGCTGATTAAGCAGGAAACTAACATTTTGAAAACCAAGAAGCAGCATCCAATGTAAGCAATTTAATTAGCATTTGAAAAAGCTTAAAAACCTTTTGAATTTAATATCACTTTAATGGTGCTCCATGGGATGTTCAAAGTTTGGGATATTTTTTTTATAACCCAATTCTGTTCTAAACTTCTCCACAAGTTTGTCACTGACCTCTTTGGAGAGCTCCTTGGTCTTCATTTTGCTTACATAGTGGTGTTGCAGACTCAGGGGCCTTTCAGACTTTGTGTCACGTACCTGGTTGGAGACTGAATGTGTGAGGAGGCCAGTGGTGGTAACGCCGTGCAAGCTGGAGTCCAGATGCTCGTTGCAGAGCAGGGCAAGATCTGTAATCTTGACAGAACGAATTGACAGATTACTAGATGGGGTTGGCCACGACCCCGTTGTCATGGTGCACATCGGCACCAAAGTAACTATGTAACTATGTAAGGTCAAACGAGCCAAGGTCACACCAGTCGGGCAGGCAAGGTACAAAGGAATGAGGCAGAAGCAAAGTCCAGTAAATGATCCAAGGTCAAGGGGCAGGCAGCAAACAAGAATGGTCAAATAGCAAATCCGGGTCAGAAGTCTGGCAATACAAAGCAAGGAATCACAGGGGAGCTGAAAGACAATCCAGCAATTAATAGAGAGATCCATTAGCCCATTGTGTTACTTCCTGTGTGCCGTTTGGCGCGCTTTTTCGTGGCTGGTCAGTGCGCATGCGTGGACTACCCGAATGCGCAGTAACCGGAATGCGCAGTAATTTTGCTTAATTAGTGGTGTTGCAGATTCGGGGGGCCTTTCAGAACAGGTGAATTTATACAGACATCATGTGACACTTTGATAGCACACAGGTGCACAGGTGGCCCTCTATCAACTAATTATGGGACTTCTGAAGTAAACTGGTAGGCCAGTATCTTTAGATTTTTGTTTTTTTATCCTAACACCTTGCCATCCAATGCAAATCCATTGTAAAAAAAACGGCGTATGCTTCCCGGCGGGTGGACGTACATGTACGTAATTTTTTCTGCTTGCACGTGCCCCTGAGCAGAATCCAGCCAGGAATGTGAACAGTTGGGATTAAATATCACCAAAAGAAAGCTCTATCTGTCCCTAAAAAATGGTATAAAATTAATTTGAGTGCGGAGTTGCATGTCGGAATAAATGTCAGTCAAAGTACTGCAGCGCTGAATACTGAAAAATGGCCTGGACAGGAAGGGGGTTTAAGCAAGTGGTCAATATTGTTTGTGTCACAATAAAAATTATTTTTAACCTACAAAGTGGTTGTGGGTTGTTGTGTATAGCACATGGAATATGCCCTCCAAAAACATCTATTTTATTTCCAGGTTTCCATCAAAACAGGAAAAACAACAAGGGGGTGAATACTTTCGCAAGGTACTGTATAACACTGCCTGCCTTACTGATTGTAATATTGTGGTAGGGAAACATACAGGGAGCGGACACAAAAATGTGTCATCTTCATTTAATTTATGTAGACTACAGTCTGTTCATCTTTTCTTTGTCTATGCTTTTTAGGTTGCGAGCCATTGTATCAAATGTTGTCATTTCAATAGCAGTATGATTCAGCTCTCAGCTTCTTCCCTTCACAGTCTTTTCTTATGCTCCACAGTATCTTATGCTGATCTCACTTCAAAAACAGTCAAATACATGATGTTTCTCCTTAATTTCCCTTTCACATACCACTGTATCCACATACCACGCTTCCTGCACAGCCTTCCTCTACATGTTATCTTGAGTACTGCTATCCTCCTCTTGCTACTGCTTCTAAGTTCTCAATTAGGTGGTCCATGTGCCCTGTTAGTGAACAATGCAAACTTTTCAGTATTTTTTCTCCTGTTTTGGGGGAATTCTACAGGTTACAAGCTAGGACATAGCAGCTGCTTTTACAACCAGCTTAGCAAGCTACACTTTCCCATTAATTCGATGATGTGCTGCAATGTATCATAATGAGACACTAATAAGGATTGTGGCTAGTGATGAGCCGAACACCCCCCTGTTGGGTTCGAATTCAAACTTTAGAACATGGGAAAAGTTTGAATTCGAACTGAATGCAAGTCTATGGGGGTAGAACTTTAAACATCAAATGTCCCTATTTTGAAGCCTTATATGCAATGTATTGGCCATGAAAAGAATATGGGGACTCGGGTACTGCCCTGGGGGACATGAATCAAGATTTTTTTTTTTTTAATACTGTTTTTAAAGGAGCAGTGATTTTAACATCACTAAGGCCTTGTTCACACCAAGCGCGGAGGCGGTGCAGAGCAGAGCAGTTGCAGACCGGATCAAAACTGCGTCCAATGTATTCCAATGGTATTTTGGGCTCTAGTTCACACCGCAGCGTGCAGTTCCAGAGCAGGTGAAAAAACTGCAGCAAGCCCTATTTTACCTGCTCTGGAACGCATGCAAACACATCTAAACCGCATCTAAAACACATGCAAGTGCCTGGAACACACTGAAAGCCCATGTTAAACTAAAAAAAAAAAATATTTTTTTTAACCAAAAACGTCTTGGAACGCATCAAAAACGCGGCAAAAACAAGGAACAACCCACTGCACTGAGTGTGCAGAAACCTGACTGGATCTGCTCTGCATTTGGTGTGAACAAGACCTCAGGCCTTGTTCACACCAAGCACGGAGCAGGTGCAGAGCAGAGCAGTTGCAGACTGGATCAAAACTGCGTCCAATGTATTCCTATGGTATTTTTTGCTCCAGTTCACATCGCAGCGTGCAGATCCCGAGCAGGTGAAAAAACTGCAGCGAGCCCTATTCTACCTGCTCTGGATCTGCTCTGGAGCGCATGCAAACGCATCAAAAACGCATGCAAATGCCTGGAACGCAGTGAAAGCCCATGTTAAACGAAAAAAAACACCTTTTTTTTTAAACCAAAAACGGTCTGGAACGCATCAAAAACGCGGCAAGAATGCAGCACAACCCACTGCACTGCATGTGCAGAAACCTGAGCGGATCTGCTCTGCATTTGGTGTGAACAAGGCCAAAGTGCAACAATAAAAATGAAAAATTCCTTTAAATATTGTGCCTGGGGGTCCCCTTAAACTGCCTGTAAAGTGGCACATCTGTACAATGTATAGAACCTGCTGCAGCAAAAATTACATTTGTAAAGAAAAAAATGACATTTAAAAAGAAAAGAAAAAAAAAGCGTGGGGTTACCCCTCCCAAACAATACCAGACCCTTTAGGTCTGGTAGGGATGTTAGGTGGGATCCCATAAAAAAAAAAGCGTGGGGTTCCCCCCTAATGTCTGGTAGGAATTTTAAGGAGGAACCCCACCCTGAAAAATGTCGGAAAAAACTGGCCCTAAAACTCCCAACCAGACTCTTGATCCGAGCACAGGCCTGGCAGGGCAGGAAAGGGGGGGGCCTCATATCAGGCCACATGCCCTCGGCACTAGGAGGGTGGTTTTTCAGGCTCGCCCCTGGAAAAGCACCTTGTCCCCATGCCGATATGGAGAAGGGCCTCTTCCAAAACAAGCCCTGGGGCGTTGGTTGTGGGGGTGCGGACTTATCCACATCAGGGTACCCCTTTAATAAAGGTGAATGAGTAAGGTGTACTTGTATCCCTAACCATTCACTAAAGGGTTAAATCAAATTGTAAAAAAGACATTGTGAAATGACCGATCAGCTACCGCTGTGGGCAACCAGAAGTCCTGAGCCTCCGCTAAGTGGGAGACCCCCAGATGAGATAACCTTATCCCCAGGTGTAGGTACTCACATATATCCTTTTTCAGTAGTAATGAGCTCGAGAGTCCATAGATGTCTTTTTAACGTTTATTGTAGAACTTGAAATAATGGTAATAGGTAGAGATGCTGGAATACCCGAAATGCTGGTGATATATTAAACTCACTTCTAGAAAGGCAATACAGATCCTATTGGAATATCCATCTTCTCCCTCTTGATAGGCCAGAAGTGTCTCCATTAC